AATAATGGAATTTCAAGCTCCATCAAGAGATGCATACAATTATCACCTGGATGGTTTACTATTGTTTCTGCTACATAAAAATGCCACACTGAGTACTTACTGTCCGGGGAGTTTTTCCAGAAAACCGTGCGGTTTCTAAGGCGGGAATGCATGCACTTTCGCAAAATTTTAATCAATATGCTTACTTCTATGCAATAGTAATAAGAAAATAGCCTGAGTACATTGCCAAGCAGTAATTGTATTACAAATCCATCCCTACGGGCCTTAGAGTAATGTGAAAACTACAGCCGCCGCGCGTGAAGTCATGGATATGCATCAAGCGTAACAGTTTGACCAGTCCGATAATATAATACAGTACGCTCTGCATCATCAATGAGCAATCAAGAATACAGAAGCGGCAGCAAATTATTATTGGGCATACACAGCGCCCCGAAAGTTACGTTCACATTCGTTGCTCCATAAGAGAGAAACAGACCTAACGATTTATTTTCACATCGAACTGGGGATGAGTAAGATCAACTATCATGTTTGATCCGCGGTAACGTGAAAATATATCATCATATCCGAACTGAATGAGAACGTGCGATGAGTAAATCCGTATTCATCTCTGCCATTTTATTTCCCATCAAAAGTATATGTACGAAACTTCAAATTAGTTTTTAGCTTCTTACACTACATGGGATGCGACACAAAAATGACACAAACATTTATGACACAAACATTTAAAATCACTTTAAATATGAATAAATCGAATTTATATATAAAAAGTCCGTCTGAAAGAGGAGGGAGACAGCGACTAGAATAAAACCAATAAGTGGTATCGTACCAGCATATCGGTTGCTTGTAGTACTGATATTTCTATTCACGATGATGTTTGTTTGGTCTGTACGTTTTTGACCGTTGTATTGTGCAAATTTCTTTCTTCAATATTTGTTGACCTTTATTAATTGCGAATTTCAACTACCATACACTCTTAATAAAAAAAAAATAACTGTTAATTTTTACATTTATTAATATCAGCTTTTGTTTCACGAAGTTTTTCTTTTTCTCAAGAATTCTATGTTGAAAATTGAAGTTACCTTTAAAATCCGCTTTACTAGTATCATTTATGTTCCCAAAAAGAAAAAAAACTACAAACATTCACATTAAGAGGACACTTTAATGAAAAAGTTGTTTCATATTCATTCTTAGGAAAGTGAACTTAAAAAGGAAAGAACAGGACCGAAATGTGGAATCGAATATCGGTACATGTAAACTTTAGCAATCTGCGAATACCCCAATCAAATATTTTTTCTTTAACTAAAAGAACCCTGTGTGCTCGTATCCGTGAGTTCCAAATTCTTCGAAATAATATCAATGTGATTTAAACAGTCCACAACTGATCTTCAACTTCTGTTTTATTTTAATATGATTGCAGAAATAGTAGCATATTCTTGCAGCAAACTAGTTGAAAATTGAATAACTTTAAGTACATGCAGACGTATCCATAATACATTTAGAAACGTTGCAATCATGCCCTCGATGGAACTGTGATTATTTCGGGATGCGATTTCTCCTTGTATTCATCGAGTTCGCCGGCCGGAAACCGGAAACTCCGAAATGTGGGCCCGGCACGCCACCACAACGAGCTTGCTATTGCTATTATCGTTAGTCATTCGAATAGAACTTTCCCTCGCGATCAGGCAATTGCCTGTAATTGGCGGGAATTGGAGACAACTAGCGCACAACTCTGGTAAGAGCAATTCCATCGGTAGAACTCGCTACACAAGCAAAGCACCCTATGAAATAAACTTCACAGACCTCCAAGAAATCACGGGTTTTATGCAGGTGAAAAATTGCCTTATTCTCTTACACCAGTATCCCTTATACTGCTTTTAAGGAAAATATAATGCTTTTGTGAAATATATATTTGAATGTGTTATGGACTAGATATAAAATCCTCTTGATTTCTGTTGTACGGCGTCATTGTACCTATTGTAGATTCCTGACATTGCAGCGAAAGCCATGAATAACTTACACAACATGAGATAGTACTTGTGGAGACAGGTCGTGCAAGTTGCTTCCTTGAATAATTTCGTGTTAATTACGGTAGATTTTGGGACGTCTACATGGGTTTCTGAACGTCTTATGATCACGTTCCATAAAAAATTAGACATTGAAGTTTTCGAGCACATTTTGGCGCAAAAGTTTAGTGAGTATTTTCAAAAAGTGAAAGTGTAAAATGTTATAATTATTAAATACTCCATATTTGATTGAAATAGATAAATAGGGTATTCGAGCGCAGAACTTGTTATTTGCAGTGCGCTGTTCACTCGTTTATCAAAACAGTATCGAAGCCAAGGGTGTTCAACTTGACTAATATTGGGTTGCTATCTTTGGTTGCACACTGTTTTCTTCTTTTCTTATTGTGATTTTGGTCGGAGATTTTATCGTAACGAATCGACACCGACGTCGTGAGAGCCACGCTAACGAAGTCACAATTAAGTAATGTTTTTTTGTAATTAATGTTTTGTTTCTGGACTTAGCTGTATTCCTCCCTTGCTGATCAGTGAGATCCAGCGCCAAACTACATTTCCGCTTGCGGGGAATTTCACCCTCCCTCTTCCTTCAGCGTTTCACCGCCACAGCCGGAACAAGCTCTCAGCACCCGACTGCTTTCCTGAGATATTTGGTATTGTAGTGCATAGGTGTGTGAAAGTAAGTGGGATGATTGGACAAGGAAGGGGAAGGAAAGATCGCACGCTGTCCGTAACGTGTTTAATAGAATACTGCTTCAGAATTCAGCTGGTTTTGATCGAATAAACCACGAAAACCTACCAACCATAAGAGCCGATCGCTAGTATTCTCGTCCTAACAGCGGCTGAATTCGATTTAGCTATCTAGCAAGTATTGAAAATATGCTACCCCCTGCATTCGAACCGTAGGTCCTCCAGGTCAGAGACGCAGCAAAGACAGTTGCGATGTTTGCTCTATTTTGTTTTTGAGTCTTTATTACTGTTTCTAACTTGATTGGCTTTTTCACTTTGCACCACATGCCAATACGTCAGTGATTTATTTCATAAGTTATATAATTCAACAAAGTAGCAATCAAAGTAGCAATAAAACATTGTTATGTTTCTCATATGAATGTAAATAAATGTGGACTCAATAACGAAATGAACAAAAGTATCTAGAATTACGTAAATATTCTTTATTTTTCTGTGATGCGTTGTTCATTCATTTAGCCTCCAAAATTAAATGACAATGATTAGAGTTCAAGAAAGCTTTCTTCAACTCAAAAACGTCAATTCAAAAATGTTTTCTTTAAAAAATCTTGCAGCGTTCTTCATAGTTGACGTGAATGATGGACTTTCTTCCCTGAAATATTTAAAATTGATAACACTAATAGAAAATGTCATATTTATATTTTCAAAAGAGTTTTCATAATGAAACCCAGATTCATGTCTGTTTTTGAGTTTTTATGGTGATTTCTCAGTATGAGTGAGACAAAGGAAAATGATTATTACAAATTCTTTCTAGACGAGACTGGTTTCATTTCTCTCTCCATGTATCTGAGAAAGGTCTGAGGTCAACAGAGGATAAACCCAGTTTCCAAACTAACCTGAAACGTTGCGCCGTGTATCGATTTTCAATATCTCTCTTAAGATTCACATCTAAAAGATAAACAAGAAAAGTATGAAAAATGCCTTGTATAGAGAATCTGTCGTGGTTGTCTTCTCCGCACTATTGATCGCTCATAAGATACTAGGAAGGGGAAATTCTTCAGGACAATTGTTTAGATTAGATCTGAAACTACGGACATTATTTGAGGGGTAATCGGCGTATGGATGATTTTATATTACAATGATAACTACGTCAGAGATACAATCTAGACAGAGATCTATTTTCAATACGTTTTACAATCCGTATCTCCCGGCAACAGATAAACAAGTAATATTGTGCGATAGATTTCTTATGTGCTTGTTATTATAAATATAAAAATGTTTCAGTTTTCGTAAATGTTGATATAATAAATAAAAAGCGAGGTCCAGGCCTTGGAACACCGCTAGCTTGCAAAAGTCGAATTGATGGAAAAGGAATACTCTCACAGCATTTATGTGATTATATTTATTAGCTTCAAGTTAGAAATGGATTTCAAATTATTCAGAAATATATCAAGTGAACTTCGATCTTTGTTAATTTCAGTCCCGAAACATTTGCTTGACGTTGCGTGACGTAGGAACTTGGAGTGGTGGCGGCGAGAGCAAATTGAACTGACCGTCACTTTCAAAGAGGGTCGAGTGTCGCTCCGCAGCGAGAAGGCGTCGTGGGCAGCAACGACGCAACAGCTCTCTGACGGCCAGCCGGCGGGTCTCAGGAGTTGCCACCCCTTGCCACCCCACAACCTTGCGACGGAGAGGGGCGGAGCAGGAGCCGCTGATAAGCAGCTCACACCACGGGCGCGCCCCATTCTGATAGCGATCAGGGCTTTACAACTCTTCATCAAAATCGGGGACAAAGCTGGAAGGAGCTAGGAGGGGAGGCGCTAGATTCGCCGGGTGCAGCTATAGGTTAGGCTCGCCAAAAGGCATTAACCTGACTTTGTATTTTTCTGCAGATACTTGATCCAAAACATTGTATATACGGCCAAGTTCGCGGATTGGAAAGCTGCGAGTTTGAGTCTCACGAAGGCGGTGTTGTTTTCACCATATAATAGTTGCGCGATTGGCTTTCCCATATCCCCACATTATCTCATCACCGGATCCATTATCATTTCATCTGTCGTAACAATCCCCCCCCCATTATCTCCCTATTTTCCTTCCTGCAGTAGAAGGTAATGTCATCCCACAATCGTAAACATCTGTCCTGGAAAGAGGGTGTAAAGATGCAAGTGCCCTTCCTCGCCTATGCGTAGAAAACGGGTATGGTACTCGTTATCATTATCAATGATCATAGCTAAACTGTACTATTTGAATGATGGAAAACGACACCTGAAGAGGTGTACGAAACCTTTACGCGAAATGTATAACGGACACAATTTCATCAAGATTACATTTGATTACCAAGTTCATCTGATATACATTGTTTTGATTGTCTCGAACCCCAAAGAGGTTTCTATATTTGTGCAATATCGTAAGCTGTTCCGTCGTGTGCTAAGCTGTGGTGCGCCTGTTGCAGAGCACCACGGGCTGGTGCCGCCCCGCTTCAGCGACCGCGTGGCGTCGGGCCCCGTGCGCGAGGGCGAGACGGCCGTGCTGTCGTGCGTGTCGCAGGGCCACCCGCCGCCCAACTACTGGTGAGTGTTGGTGTCCATGCCCAGGGCACTTCGCGCTTGGTGTTGGCAAGATAAGTGTCAACAGTTACTTGTAATTACTAGTTGTGAACAATGTCCTATTTATTTTGCCGTTGAATGCGACTTCAGGCAACTTACTCCATTATGTCGGTTTCCTCTAGATAAAACTTTTTTCTCTGTTTTATACTGCATTTAAATGCACTTTTTTTAGAATCAGTAAGTATTTGAGCTCTTAGACACTTTCACTTCCTATATTGAGCGTTCTGTATTTAAAAAGAATATTTTCTTACTTTACTTTTTTCAGCATTGATACATGAAAACTAGTACTTATTTCACTCATTATTTATTGGAAATTGTTACTTTGAACCTTGTCGTACGCGTACCGCAAAGAACTAATAGCGTGTGAAACAACAAGGTTCTGCAAAGTAAACAAGACACTGGGGAAACTTGAAACAAGGTTGGCCTGGGTAGACGATGTCGCTAAGGCTGAAGGACCATACCTGATTCGTGCCTGAAGTGTCAGTATGTTACACACTTAGTGAACCCACAGACACATTTGATTGATTAGTGATTTTGGGCGCATCAACTGCTAAGATAGTTAGTCCCCTAAGTGTAGTGCATATTTTGTCCACGGGAGGTTTTAGATGATCATATCCGGCACCGACCTACCTGTAGGCTAGCGGGGGTTTTCCCAACCAGGTATCTGCCACCAGCGGGACAAGGTCGAGACTCCCGAATCGTCTCCCAGCATATGTGGTAGTGTAGTGCATGTAAGTGTAAGCATGTAAGTGTAAGTAAGGGGTGAGGGTAGTACAAGGAAGAAAAAAGAAAGATCGCGCGCGGTCCGTGGCCTCGTTTGTTTGGGTACTGCGCCGGCATTCGCCTGGTATTAATCGAAGGAACCACTAAAAATTACCGATCAGAATAGTCGGCCGCTAGAATTCTCTTCCAGACAGCGACTGAATACGACCCAACTCTCTAGCAAGTGTCGAAAATCCTGCGAGCGTCGGGACTCAAACCTAAGACCTTCCGGTCAGAGGCACTGCGACATCAGTTGATGCCCTGATCCACCTCTCCCGGTATGTGTAAATTAGTAATTTAGATACCGAAGAGAAAGAAATTGTAATTCTGCAACAAAAATTGTCAATTTTTCAAAAGAAAAACTCGCGTCGGGTCCTGGTAAAGAAAAAGTGGATAAATCTGGCTCCAATATGTATCGTCCACGTACAAATTATTTCGTCTAATACGTTGCGTCCACGTAAGCTCTGTTGCATCATCAATAATTGCTTTTGTCATTATTTAAGATCATTTAAAAACAACTGAGGTAATTAGCGATCACTATTATTTTATGAATAAGTAGCAATATTTTAAAATTAAACTTAGACATTAAACATTAGCCTTCCTTTACATATTCAGATAGTAATGAAGTACACTGAAGAGCCAAAAAATTGGTTCACCTACCTAATAAAGTGTAGGGCCCCGCGAGCACGCAGAAGTGCCGTAACACGACGCGGCATGGACTCGACTAACGTCTGAAGTAGTGCTGAAGGTAATTGACACCATGTATCCTGCCGGGCTGTCCGAAACTCGTTAGAGTACGAGGGGGTCGATATCTCTTCTGAACAGTATATTGCAAAGCCTATCAGATATTCTCAATAACGCTCATGTCTTGGGATTTTGGTAGCTAGTGGAAGTGTTTAAATTCAGAAGAGTGTTCTGGAGCCTCTCTGTAGCAATTCAGTGTATATTTGTAACGTCTAGCAGTAATCGTTGCATTTATTCCCACTGTAAAGTAATGGTTTACGATGTATAGCCCAAATTAGTAAGTTACTCAAGGGAAACCATTAATACTAATTATGCTCATTAAAATGACTATCACTGAAAATTGACCGACGATCTCATAAGAGCATCCATAAGCATTAGAGACAACTTTTACGATCCAAAGAATCTGATGCATAGGAATACAGATGAGGTCTAATTTAGGGGAAAGTGCAAATTCGGTAACATTCCTTTACATAAACATGGTAAAAATATATATGCTTTTTCCTTTCGTGAAAAACTGAAAATACGTTAACAACAATTTCCAAACAATGCTGATAATATGTTGACAAATAAATTTATAATTTCTCATTTATAAAAAAATCCTCCAATTCAATTGCAAGTTCCCGGATCCGCCGTTCACTGCTCCCCGAATTGTTCTCGGGGTATAGGTATGTCATTGGTATGCGACTGTTAAGATAAAATCCAATGAAACGAATTAATAATTACAAACAGTATGATTTTGGAACGAACAATTCCCAGTGGTCTTATTGCTACTGTGCGAGAGCGAATACGTGCATAGCGTGTTGTTTTTGTCATTAATATTTAATTTTTATTTAAATTTTCTGATAACGCGGTGAAACACCGTGCACAAAATGATATATCAAATCGTCATTTTATATTCGAATGTTAAAAATTAATTCAGCTTGCGAACAACTCGTTTGAATTATATATTTTCGTTTATAGCAGAAACACATAAGTGTATTTTTTAGCTAGTCTTATTTTTAACTTTTATTGTGAAGAAATAAGTTAATTATAATCCAAAAAGTAAAGGTAATAGATTAATACGACGGGAGATCTTAAAGTAGTGTGAAACTTTTTTGTTTGATAAAAAAGTGTTCTAGAAATGTACATGATGACAAATTAAAATACATTTTTGTTTTATTTGAAGATTGCATACTTACAAGTTGAAATGATCGACACAAAATGAGAAGAAATATAAAATGCCTCAATAAAAATTATTGTTGTTAGAGGAAATTAATGTACAGTTGTTTACGGGTAAATGTTCACCAGGTATTTAAAGTGCACTAAAAATTGGGTCTCATTTCATTTTGATGACTAACATTCTTCACTGATGGAACTTATCAGACTATTGCGTATGAAAGGTCTAATTTAGAAGGGACACTTTATAAAACAGTGGACAAACGAAACGGAAGATTAATTCATTAAAGTAGGCACTCTTGGCAACTAACGAGATTGTACTAACACCCTTTTCAAAAAGGTTCCACGTCTTTGACTAAAGAAACTCTTGAAAAGCCTGTATCCCATACCAAGTTTCTCTTGTGACGAAATGATACAAATCATCAAAAAATGGCGTTTCGTTAGCGAGAAATGCATAAGGTAGTGTATGCAAAAGTTTTCAATAAATCTGTAGGGAATCCAGTAACTAAACGTCTTTCTACTACTTTCGAGTACTGAAAAGCACCGTTGTAATTAATGACTACAAGTTTTATTTTATTTTACCAAATTTTAGTGAGGTTCTCCTTTCCACACCATTTTTCTGAAATTATCGAACCTCTTTGAAAATCGAATTGCAATAATCCTATTCTGTTTAGCTGGTTTCTTCGTCTTTGCATCCTGCAGCGATAAGGGACATTTTGTTACATTTGTAATAATTTACTCAAGATTGCTGTCGGTACTTGTGACGTGATTTGCGTCATAGATTGAGTTTCCACATCGATGTAGGTTCTTATTTCGAGAGGAATAGGGACGCAAACAATTCGGCAACGTCAGCTAGTATTCGCATTCCTCTGCACTCAAATTGTTCGAATTTCAAGTCAGTAGGAAAGGATAGTCTGCTCGCCGCGGACACCAAACATTGTAAGTGATGAGTGTGATATTTAAATATTGTCTCAACGTGCCCCAAGCGTTTGACAATATTCCACGTCATCCTGATATCCGACATTACGTACTAAACGGCTTTATTATCTTGTACATTTTGTAAAATGTCGTACAACTCTGAACAAATTGAAGTTTTGAGACCTCGTAAGCTGCATTATCTAATTGCCTTCGCTGCTCTTTATATCAGTACTATGATATACTGATGACCAGCAGCTATAAAGAGACAAACTGTTAATTATGTTTTCATATGTTCAAGGTAATACTTTATTTAAACCGTACTGATATATGAAGGGAAAATCAATTTTCTGTTTGTAGTACAAGTGGATATTCAGGAAAACACAGTTGTAATTAATACTTCAGAATAAAAAGCCACATTACATTCAGAAACATCAAAACATACCGAGTTGAAATTGCATGATTTTAATTATTTTGTTGGCAGAAATTAATTGGTGGCGCAGAGCATATAGAATTCCAAAGTTGATTACTGGCTCGTAGTGCCTTCGGGTAGCCGGTTTTGTGATCAGCATCATTATTTTACTGTCACGTTACGACAATCTGAAAGTGTTCGGTAATAAATGCAATATATCTGGCATATAATGTACTTTATATATTGCTTAGTGTCTTTATGTGCTTGCTTCTTAATGTGCTTTATATATTGCTTACTAGGTCACTTGTATGACCAGTGAAATCAATAAGATGCCGAACATTTCTTGTGTACGTTTTTTTAATTAAAATGTATTACAGTATGAAATGTATAGCACACACATATAGTAAAGGGTAGACCAGAAAAATTCCAACGTTGCACAAATAACAATTACCAACATATAGTAGAGGAGACCGATACTAGTTGGTACTCGTTGGTTTTTAAGTTTTACGAATCTTCCGTTTAGTTTTGACAAATTTGATTGTATTAATAAACGATATATTTATTGTGCTACCTTATGTCATTTTTTAAATTAGTGAATATTTCATTGTCGCATTTTCAGTCATTATATGTCGTCAAACCAAGATGTACCAATCAATTCAATGTGGAGTTGAGAAAGGGAGAGAGAGAGGAAGAAAGAAGATAAAGTGAGAAAGAAAGAAGATAACGAGAGAAAGAAAGAAGATAACGAGAGAAAGAAAGAAGATAACGAGAGAAAGAAGATAAAAAAAGAGAGAAAGAAGGAGAGGACAAGAAAGTACAAGTCCCCCTTATCGTAAGGGAATGACAGGAAGGGAAACCTTTCCCCTGACATGGGTTCCCCAACACGCCACCGGCCTGACGACTACCCCACAGCACCTAAGTAGAAATATCAGGAAAAGGTTGTTACTAAAAATACGTCGTTTTTAATATGAAAATA